CTTTTAGGCAGGATTAAAGTAAATTAATCTATAAGACCTAGGGTATGGAAAAAAATATATCAATCGGAAGGGTTTGACCTCCTGGGTCCAAAACTGTAATTGGATCTCAAAGCGGTCAAGAGATGACAGAGCTATAAGCTAAAAGTTTATACTTGAAAAAAAACAAACTCAGAGCCGTTCTGTGAGCCAATATGCCATGGCTAAAAATAAGAGTAACGTCCCAGTTTTGTGGTTGTAGAAGTAGATTCAACAATATCTGGTAAACTTCATTTTTCGTTTTGGGGCGAACTTTTTGAATAGAAACTTGTACTGTAGATCAAAAATTAAAATAAAATTTGGGTTCATTTCGTGTTTCAAACATAATTAATAAAATAAAAGGATATACTGTCTTATAATTTTAGGGTCTAAAAAAAAGGGGGGGGAAATGAATTCAATAAAATGACGGGAAAATGTGTGCGATAAAGGTATGAATTTAGTCACGCGCATCTCCTCGTCAGCAGTATCATACGATGCTTCTGGAGCAGCAACCCTGACATCTTTTATTCCGGTAAGGTGGCTGTTTCGCATTTATACCTAAGCACCTCGAGCACATTCAGCTAAAAACCTGTCCCTGATTTTTTTCCCTGGTCAACTTCTTCTAGAAGCCTTGAACCTAGCATTAAAATATTCTCAACACGGCGAGACCTAGTGCCTTCCATTAATATTCATTTAAAGATTACATCCCAAGGACAAGGTTAAGCTAGTCAGACGTGGAGGATCGATCAAAACATGGGTTTGTATGTTAGATAAGACAGATCCGTAAGGATTAATGACTGCCACGCTAGAGTTATTCTCTTTATCAGAATTCCAAAACTCTCACATAATATATTATATGAAAAACAAACAAACAAAGATTTACTATGTTATTGCATATAAAATTACTATATTATCATTAAAAATATATTGTACTAATAGTAGCAATTCAGGCTTGAACAAGACGTTTTACTGAAGACCTTACATAATGATAATCCTAGCCCTATCTATTATACTACTAGTAGCAACTCAGGCTTGTACTACGTAAAGTACCTTGTGTCGTGATGTAACTTGTATAAGTATTAACTTCACACTAGAATAAAGTACCTTGTGTCGTGATGTACCTTATCTTATATAAGTATTAACTCCACACTCGAATAAAGTACCTTGTGTCGTGATGTACCTTATCTTACATAAGTATTAACTCCACACTAGAATAAAGTACCTTGTGTCGTGATGTAACTTATCTTACATAAGTATTAACTTCACACTCGAATAAAGTACCTTGTGTCGTGATGTAACTTATCTAACATAAGTATTAACTCCACACTAGAATAAAGTACCTTGTGTCGTGATGTACCTTATCTTACATAAGTATTAACTCCACACTAGAATAAAGTACCTTGTGTCGTGATGTACCTTCTTACATAAATAAAGTACCTTGTGTTTCTGATTGCGTTAGAAATAACTAGAAAAGTAAGCATGTTTACTGCATCTACAGGCTGGTAAATACCTCTTTACCTAAATGCATAGTTGAAAGTTAATTCCACTCCTGCTAAGGTCTTTACTATCTTTCTGGTTTCGGTTTTCTTTTAGATGTTTTTCCTAGACAAAATAAACACCTTCTAATGTCATACACCCTTATTTAAATAACACAAAGCACGGCCTGGTCCTTGAATTTCTATCTCACATGCAAGGACGGATCTACCACGCTCGTGTTAAAGAACAATTTCACGAGCTTGGCAAAACGCCATCATCTCCCAGTTGTGAAGGTGTGGCAGATAAACAATTTTACATATCTAATAAGTTATTGAGATAATATAATGGGAGAGCACTTGTGGAAGACATTCGTTTTTCTCACCTCTCCAACCTTGCTAAACATGTGAAGAGCACGATGGTTTACCACCCCCCACTACAAAAGGTCTGCCTGCTGCCATCTATTGAAATTTCTAATCCACAGTCTTGGTTCCCCGTTTCTCTTAAACGTTTCCCTGTACATACTAGTACCCCCTCCTCCCAAACCCATTCATGAAACTTTCGTTGTGCCCTTGAATGAATTTTCATAACCCCCGCCCTGCCCCATTATCTATCACTGTGGCCTCTCACTGCACCAGCGAATCCCTTTTGCCATATTGCTGCGTTCTATGCTTTTCTGTAATGTTTTATATTTGATCTTTATTTTAAACCACTAATAATAAGTCATGCAATGATTAATGAATATCTAATTATGCCTTACTAAATATTTGTTTTAATCACTAGTTACCAGTAATTCTAAATTGATATTTAAATCCAAAGCTAAACTTAAAAACCCCAGTTTTAATATTAGTTTAGTCACTGAACCGAACATATTTAAGTATTGTTCTGAAACTTTAAAATCTCTTTCTCTTTCTTACCTTGTTGAAATATATTTTTTCTTCAAAATACATTGTAAATAAGAAACACGTGAAGACCTATTCAGAGTCTACAAAACCCTTTAAAAATAATATCAATTAACAAAATATGTTTTAAAACCCATTTTACATCTTTCTGGATAAATATGTGTATTCAACTCGCAAAAATGACCGGTCACTTCTATCTCACAAACTTACCGGTCACTTTTATTTCCCGAACTGACTAGCCATTACCATCTCACAAACTGGTCACTTTTATTTCCCGAACTGACTAGCCATTACCATCTCATAAACTGATTGGTCACTTTTATTTCCCGAACTGACCATTCTTATAACTGGTTTCATTTAGTAACTTTTGAAGTGAACTGTCTAATAAACTCGTTACGGTCTTATTAATATTTCATTCATAGTTGATCCTATATGCGTGACAGTTAAAACTCAAAATTCCAAAGATAACCGACATCCTTCTAGGAATTATATAATGTATAACATCAAAAGAAAACAATGACTGACTCTTATAAAGTTGTTACTTTAGAAACGATACTTTTAATGAGGAACTCCAAAATGAAGTTAAAAGGTAACAATAACGCCACTCGTGTGAACACATCAAACTAGTTATGTTTTCTCGTCCAGCTGTACGAGAACTTTCAAATAGTTTTAAGGCCAGCTGACAAGGTCACGAGCGTTTCCGAAATATGTTAATAGAAATATCGCCAATCCCGTCATATTTGCATGGTATTTTATGCATCACTTTTTTTAGAGCTATATGGTTACAGTATTACTTTTCCCGACTTTTACTGTTTTCTGTACCACTTTTTTCCCCACTTGTGCAGTTGCTATGCCACTTTTTCCTGACTTGCGCACTATACACGCCAACAAGTTATTTATTAAGTATGCCCTCAGACCCATGCTAACATTTGCTCAGTTTTTGAAACCTTGACAAAGACTTAAAGTTAAGATACATTGCTTTCGACACTCTTTCGAAATCCACCTTGTTGAGTTAAAAGTATAATTATCTCAAGCTTTCCTTCACATGTAAAGTGTTGGTTTTTTTACGAACAATTTGTGTGTAGGAATAAACAACAATCGCTTTGGAAAGCATAGTTGTGGGATAACAACATAGTTTAGCAAAGGAAATCATGGTTAAATATTTAGATGTCATAACAGATTATTTAAACAGCTTCCTGTAAACATCCCATAAAACTTAATATTATCAAACAATAATGTTAATAATATCAGACGTTTGGTTGTTTCTTAATCAAAGTGCGCATTGCGCATGTCTGTTAGTAATGATGTCTGTTCAGGCACATGGGTCGGAACACAATTTACAGTGCTCTGATAATGAGGAAATCGTACATTATCTCATAAAGTTGTACTGAACCTTGTACTATAAGCGTCATTATTCAAGTACATGTACTGTTATGTCCAGTACTAACAGCGTCACCTAGTAACAAAAGCATTAAGCCAAGAAAGAAATATAACTTTGAATGTTAAGATACAATATATAAGCAAAACAAGTGAGAAAAAAAATCCGCCAAGCCCTTTCAATGTCCACTATATAAGCAAAAAATAAAACACTTTTAAAAAGGGTAAGTTTCTTTTAACCCCAAGTCTGCGAGTCGAAGAGGCTGAAAATATGGAGATTAGGTGGACTACAGAAGGGGAGCCCCTGTTTCTAGTATTCAAGTTAACATCATAACAAATGTGTTTCGATAAAGAGATCGATCTTTAAGTTTAAAAAAAAATTGCTGTCAGAAGTGCTCATCTCAACTGTGTTTCATCATGAAGATGAGAAGTTTAGGGGGTTGGTTGGAGTGTGTTCCCCTTATAATAGAACCCCTCACTTCAAACATGTATCGCACTTAGCCGCCTTACAAGCTGTAAGTAATCTTCGTTGAGCATTCCATAACCTATCTCTATCGAAAGAACTCGTGAATACCGCGGAGAAAACGTCTTTATAGAGCTGAGGAACCAAATATTGTATTGCGCAACATCTGCTGCCACACCCATGTTTTGTATGTGATTTTGGATGGGAATATATGTTTTGCTTTCTAATAGCCTAAAAATCAGTGCGAATTCAGCCACGCTTGTAGCCAGTTTCAGATTCAGATATCGCAAGAAGTTCAAATTTCTATTCAGTATTAAAAATGGATAACACCAGAAAGCTTTATTTTGGGAATCATACTACAAAAAATGCCCACTGCCTTGTAGACCGTTAATGTTACTTGAAACTTCGTCTCTCCATACTGACAAAATGCTCGAAGCACCGAATAATAAAGAAGTTCAAATTTAATTGATGCAACAATACTTCCATATTAACAATTATGTTAATAATTACATACAAGTTCTGTAATAATTTAGAGATGTAATAATGGTTTAGAGACAATCAGCCAGAAGATGGATACTCATGATGCAACAATATCTCCTTACTAAGAATGATAGTAATAATTACATATGAATTCTGTAATAATTTACAGGTGTAATAATGGATTACAGACAATCAGGTAACAATACTTCCTTACTAACAAAGATGGTAATAATTACACAAGAATTCCGTAATAATTTTTCACTTTATACACATCTGGTAAAAACAAACAAATAATTATCAATACATATTGTGTTTTTAACTGGAAGGCATATTTAATATATTATTATACGCTGTTCTTCGTTTTCACTCAGAGGATTTTATACATACTACCAAAGTTTCACGAGGTAAGTAAAGTTCCGAAACTATGAACTTCACGCACTTACTGGACACTGACACTTCGCATCTTTCTTGTGTCCACAGGAAACGCCGAGGATTGAGTACAACGTCCGTTGACCACACTCAATATACTTTTTATCTTTACTCTTTTTTGGTGGACAAAAGTTTGGTAAAATAGTACGTACGTTGTATAGAATGAACTACAAAATCAACCTTCTTGAAGCAAGTTCATAAGGTGATGTTTTAAACTCCGAAGGTCTGAATGTGTTCTTTCCAGAAACGGAACAGTAAAATTAAAGCAAACTCGGATATTCCTCACGTGAAGGTAATAAAGACAAGAGTGATATTAAACCAAACTGTCAGATATCTTTCACGTGAACGTAATAAAGACAAGAGTAATATTAAACCAAACTGTCAGATATCTTTCACGTGAAGGTAATAAAGACAAGAGTAATATTAAATCAAACTGTCAGATATCCTTCACGTGAAGGTAATAAATACAAGAGTAATATTAAACCAAACTGTCAGATATCCTTCACGTGAAGGTAATAAAGACAATAGTAACATTAAATCAAACTGTCAGATATCCTTCACGTGAAGGTAATAAAGACAAGAGTAATATTAAACCAAACTGTCAGATATCTTTCACGTGAAGGTAATAAATACAAGAGTAATATTAAATCAAACTGTCAGATATCCTTCACGTGAAGGTAATAAATACAAGAGTAATATTAAACCAAACTGTCAGATATCATTCACGTGAAGGTAATAAAGACAAGAGTAATATTAAACCAAACTGTCAGATATCCTTCACGTGAAGGTAATAAAGACAATAGTGACATTAAACCAAACTGTCATATATCCTTCACGTGAAGGTAATAAAGACAATAGTGACATTAAACCAAACTGTCAGATATCCTTCACGAGAAGGTAATAAAGACACTAGTAACATTAAACCAAACTGTCAGATGTCCCTCACGTGAAGGTAATAAAGACAATAGTAACATTAAAACGAACTGTCAGATATCCCTCATGTGATTAACGATAACTTTAACACTAATTATAAGAAAGATTCTGACTGAGATACCCCACGTGGGGGAGAGAACTCGGGGAGCTTGGCTCCGTGATACAACTAACGTGTAATATTTTATAGTTGGATAGATTTTTACCCTGGTGATCAGATAATAAACTTATTGTTGCTTGCTTGGTTGAAGAATTTAGAAACTCATTGAATAAATGTTTTCTGCTATCATTTAACTACATAAAAGTTGTTGAAAAACAACCTTAGCTTACCTCTCATTGGCCTGGTCGACGTTCCAAGCCCTGCTGCCCCTGGCATGACCTCCCGTCTGTCTTGTAGTTTCGCTAGACTAGGAATGTTGGGGAGAGAGAAGCAAAACTTCGTACTTAGCGTGCTCAACGATCCGTGTGTAGGGTCCTCCCCAGGGAGAGCGGCCAATCGTATGAGTTGGGGTGGGGAGGGGGACCGCTTCTTGAGGAGACGCATTACGGTCGGCACACGCGCTAAAACTCCTTCTTAGTTACGCTGAAGTTGGAAGTTTAAAAATCTCTTTCCCCAGTCACCTGTTGGCCTCATCTTCTTCGTGGATCGTGCTTGTTTTTCTGAGGATGTCGCTATTATAGTTCAATGTGGGTCTGTAGAAAAAATAAATACATTAGCGTCCCCTTAGAACCTTTTGTTCATAAATACACATGGTAATAAATACATTAGCGTCTCTCTTAGAACCTTTTGCCCATAAATACACATGGTAATAAATACATTAGCGTCCTCCTTAGAACCTTGTGTTCATAAATACACATGGTAATAAATACATTAGCGTCCCCCTTAGAACCTTTTGTTCATAAATACACATGGTAATAAATACATTAGCGTCCCCCTTAGAACCTTTTGCCCATAAATACACATGGTAATAAATACATTAGCGTCCCCTTAGAACCTTTTGCCAATAAATATACAAGGTAAGTCTTTGAATTTCAGACTGTTGGTTGATTAATGAATATAATCTAATGTTTTTTGAAACAAATGCATCTCGGTTTAGCCTATTATTCCAAACCACATTGTAACCACGTGTTACAGTTAATTGGATCAAGATATATCTATATTCCTGTACACCGTTGTTGTTGAATTATTTTGATGCTTGGGTTGGGTGAAGAACACATGTGAGACCCAATTGTTTTGGAAGACTCAAGTATAGGTGGGCCACACAGGCACCACAGTGTTTCCAAGCTCAAAGAAATAAACTACCTGCCCCTCCCTCTCCCCACCCCCTCATAAGGTACTGTTCTTCCTTTTTTTAACTGAGTTTTTTTATTCTTCCTTTTGTGTTTGCGTCCGGTTTTGGAAGTAACACCGGAACAGATAACTGAAGCCATTATTTACACACATGCACGACCACGTCAGTGTGAATTAATGATAGTATGTCTTGGTAAGTTAGTTAATTGACAAAGGTAAACATAGAGATGTCTTGGTAAGTTAGTTGATTGACAAAGGTAAACATAGAGATGTCTTGGTGAGTTAGTTGATTAACAAAGGTAAACATAGAGATGTCTTGGTGAGTTAGTTGATTGACAAAGGTAAACATAGAGATGTCTTGGTAAGTTAGTTGATTGACAAAGGTAAACATAGAGATGTCTTGGTGAGTTAGTTGACTGACAAAGGTAAACATAGAGATGTCTTGGTGAGTTAGTTGACTGACAAAGGTAAACATAGAGATGTCTTGGTGAGTTAGTTGACTGACAAAGGTAAACATAGAGATGTCTTGGTGAGTTAGTTGATTGACAAAGGTAAACATAGAGATGTCTTGGTAAGTTAGTTGATTGACAAAGGTAAACATAGAGCTCCATTTCTCAAGTATCACAAACCCTGACAAAAATTTAAAATCAGTGGTAAAGAAAATATCGTGACGAAGTGTACTATCAGTCAGGATTGCTTTTCAGCTGTCTGCCCATCTTACTTTTACAGCGCCTGCACCCCCCAGTGGCTCAGCGGTAAGTCTGCGGACTCTCACCGCTACAAACCAGGTTTCGATACTCGTGGTGGGCATAGCGGAGATAGCCTATTTATTGTGTAGCTTTGTGCTTTACAACAACCAAACACGTGTTAGCAGAACTCTTTAACAAAATATACACTGGTGATAAAATAACCTCGCTCTTCAGTGGTGGTTAGTGGATAAAAAAAACAAACAACAACAGGGAACCAGTGAGTCAAAGTATCTTCCTATTGGACGCTGTGTGGCCAGCATGGTAAGTTACAACTGCAATAACAGGAGGAATGCTAGGATCGAGCTAGCAGCGACTCACAAGTGCTTGTGTAATGTAGTTCTACTAAAACTGAACTGTATGACGCCCAGGACAAGACTGACCCAAATTGAACGATTCAAATAGACACGTGTCCAGTGAGAGAACAAAGAACTTTAACCAATGAGTCACAAGATTACAAAATGACCACTCTATATTCCCATGGGAAAGGTGGACTTGCAATTTGTGAAGGTCACCTTCCGCTAATTTTTAGTCCAACAATGCTACAAAAACATAGAGTTAATCCAAAGCTAGTCTGTTGCATTTTCAACGTACGGGTTTACAGTGAACAAGACTGACCTGTCACAAAAAACTCAAGCCTGAAGATATTATAGAAATGCTAGCACTTATGAAGATATTATAGAAATGCTAGCACTTATGATATCCGTAGTATATAAGTATCTGATATGGCTATATTACCCATTACTTGATGGACTACAAGGAATTCAGCTAGTTAACACCAGCCATTACTTGATGGACTATTCTTCCCAGATTGGTTCAAACTGGTAATCTTGAGTACACTTCTCCGTATCTACCCTTCAGACGAAATGGTGTTAACTAGCTGAATTCCCTGTAGTCCATCAAGTAATGGATGGTGTTAACTAGCTGAATTCCCTGTAGTCCATCAAGTAATGGATGGTGTTAACTAGCTGAATTCCCTGTAGTCCATCAAGTAATGGATGGTGTTAACTAGCTGAATTCCCTGTAGTCCATCAAGTAATGGATGGTGTTAACTAGCTGAATTCCCTGTCAAGTAATGGATGGTGTTAACTAGCTGAATTCCCTGTAGTCCATCAAGTAATGGTTGGTGTTAACTAGCTGAATTCCTTGTAGTCCATCAGTTCAAAATTACGGGCAGTTATACGCATATATCCTTTGTGTGGCTCTGAGAAAAAAGTCTAAACAAAAAGTTGGTTTTTAATATATGTTTCATTAACCCAACATCTCGGTAGATTTAGTATAGGTTATGAGTATGAAATACATCCATCAATGTAGAAGTGTAACAAAGTTAAGCAAGATTTATTGTTTTATCCAGAGGGCGTTTATTATTGTTTCCCTGCGAGTGAATTAGGACTAGTATGGCACAGCAATGTTTTACATAATTTGGAGATTGTTGTTAAAATCATAACAATAATCCACTCCTTTCAAAAGTTGTAGGGCCCGGCATGGCCAGGTGGTTAGGGCGCTCGACTCTCAATCTGAGGGCCGTGAGGGCGTTATAATGTGACGGTCAATCCCACTATTCGTTGTAAAAAGAGTAGCCCCAGAGTTGGCGGTGTGTGGTGATGAGTAGCTGCCTTCCCTCTAGTCTTTCTCTACTAAATAAGGGACGGCAAAAAAACAAAAACAAATAAAAGTTTTAGAAGATTCAAATATAACGAGAACCATTACAATCACGTGCATATAGAATTGTTAATCCGCATAATTTAAGTTACTAATCTCTTCTCACATGCACGCAAGTAATACGATGAGTAAACTTGTGTTTTTAGCCAACTGGTGAGTGAATAGAAATTTACATCAAACACTCTTTCAATACTAATCAGCAGAAGATTACAGCTAACATTTTAAGTTTAAACTACGTTTTCATTATATCGTCATGTGAGCTGGGTAGGTTAAGATTAATATTTAGAAAAAAAAAAAAAGATGTCATGTGTCTTCTGCCAAGCCTAATTTTAATCATGACTTCACTTTCTTAACTGTTGGTTTTATCTGTAAAGACGACAGGAATACCAGAATAGTTTAAATATTCGTGCGGACACAAAGCCAAGAATTTGATAGCGAAGACTTTGTCTGAATTCCAATTACAAAAGACGAACGTGCCCCCAAATGGGGCTATAATAAGCCATCTTGTCCACTTGGTTAGTAGAGATAAAGTTACAACCATGTAATTACTAGTTGTACCATGTAATTCCCAGGCTCGTTCTTGGCAGTCCCGCACCCTTTCTACAGATTCTTTCCCAGCAGGGGGCGCTTATCATGACAAGGATTGGAAAATAATTATGAGCGTACTTTTATTTCTTTGTGAAATAGACGACATGTTACATACAGCACGCGACTACCTTTATCATAATTAGGTCTGGCTTTGTTGAAAGAGTCAAATACGCGCACTTACAAATTGTTAACCGGTGCGTTGAAAACATACTTTTGAGATTTTAAACAACCTGTCTTAAGAAACTGAACTGTTTCCAAGAAAGTGGTGTAGTAATTACGACCTAACACTATTTCAAGTTCGTTAGTGGGGAATTTGCGTTCCCTGTTACACACGTCAAGGCTTTAAATCGGAGAAAGTTTCTGTTACTATAGTGTTACAAGATTCTGGGCTTAACCCAAAAATACGGTGTTACAACAAAATCTGGGCTTAACTTTAAAATACGGTGTTACAAGATTCTGGGCTTAACTTTTAAAATACGGTATTTACAAAATTCTGGGCTTACTTGGTTCACACAATAACAGCTGTGCAATAAAGTTGATAATAATACAATTCTCCTGTTTAACTTGGTTCACACAATAACAGCTGTTCAATAAAGTTGATAATAATACAAGTCTCCTGTTTAACTTGGTTTACACAATAACAGCTGTTTAACTTGGTTTACACAATAACAGCTGTTTAACTTGGTTCACACAATAACAGCTGTTCAATAAAGTTGATGACATGTAAAGTCTCTAGACCATCACTATGTCTGTTGTATCCCAGTCAACCCGATGAGACCTGGTATTAGACGAAAGGCCTTCTCGGTACTGGATACTGCAGATGTAGTATGGTTGAACCATAACAACAACAAAGCTTCCATTTAGAAAGCCTCCTCCCCCAGTGACTGAGCGATAAATTTGAGGGGTTATAATGCTTAAAATTGTGCTTCAATAACCTTTGTTTAGATTTGAACAACAAAAATCCGTTTAGAAATTGGAAATGTTTATTGGTCAAAATGAACAACTTATATACTGTATAGCGTCACTATTACTGAATTGTTATCGATTCTTGTATAGCTGTTATCTAACAACCTCAGGTTTGCTAATAGTCGCCCCCTGGCGGAATGAAGTTTCTACTCCCCTGAGTCACCCTATGTTTCTCCGCTTTACTTGCACATGCAATGTGATAATATCTTAACACTAGGTTTCGGTTTCCACCTTGTTTTTCAGAAACTGACCATGCAACCCTTCTGTACTTCCCAAACTACCGATTTTTACGATGTCCTTAATGTCTGTCTTCGCCAACCAAATGTTTAATAACAACTTTTTAAGGGGCCTTCACTTTCAAACAGGCAAATCTGCTGGAATACCGTTATCCGTCCTTTACAGGTGCAGGGGCAGAAGATAAGCTAATATAAAAATTGTCAAATTATCTATTCCTTACCTTTAACCTTTTCCACACTAGTCTACTTTAGCACTGGAAACAGAAGGTCGGAGTACGAATATCTATTGTAAATGGTTCATCATTATGACGTCACCTGTTTACAAAACGTTTGATCTTAGATCTTTACAATAACAAATCCGGATAGCAGCATTTCAGTTAAGTCTATTAGAAATGTCTAACGGCTTTTTAATTCACTGTCCATAAATAGTTCTGGGATTCTAGTCATTGGTTGATTTAATTTCTTTGAGTAAACGAACGTCTCAATATCGTGTTGTAGTTAACAAGAGTAAATAACCATCTAGACGAGAGTAGACGAAGCCACACATCACTCTCTTCCTGTTCGTCATTTCCGTCTGTATTAGGACGTCCTGTGCTAACTGATACGAGCATGGATAAATGGTGTGACTTCAGACCTTTCCAAAGTTCTTCTTGGATAATTCTTAGAAGATGTAAAAAAGACAAAGTATAACATGAAACTCTACTTATCTTCAGAAGTCGGCGTGCAGTAGGTTTTATCTTAATATCGAAATTTCATTAAATCCAGCGAGGTGCCTATCAACGATTTCAACCTGTTGGATATGTTGTAGTAAATAACGTTGGATATACTCGAAGAAAAGATGGATAGACAAAGTTAAAGCTTGTCTGTTGTTAAACAAAGATTATTTTCTGACTTTTAGTGTTTGCAGGTAAGAGAGCGTCTGCTCTTTCCCAGGTGCTTATCGATCTGTGAATTTTAAAAGAACAACTAAGATCATTATGGTAGAGGATATATAAGTTATTATCCCCTACTAGTTGTAATTTGGTTCATTCAACAATGAATGTAAAGAACCACGTGGTATCTTCTACCAGAGTGATCCTATATAAGTTATTATCCCGATGGTAGACCACGTGGTTCTTTACAGTCATTGTTAAATGTCAAGGTCTTTGGAGTGAACTGAAGGCTTTAAAGTATATTTAAGCTCACCGCAAAGAACAGATTCTAAGCAAACTAAACAAACAAACAAACTTGAGTGGAAGTCAAATACTTCAACATTTTATGCTAAATAACAAAACATTGTTTTATTGCGAATGATAACTTTTTCCCATTTATTACAGTTTTCCCATGTCATATACTAATTTCATGTAACTATTTTTTTCGGTTATTTTATAAGTGGTGTATTCATTTTTAATCTTCTTTATACTATTTTGCCACATTATTTATTTCTTGCAAAAATGTGCACAAAACTAAATATTTATCTTAATAAGATTAAAGAAAAAAGAAACCTAATGTGGCCTACTAGTGGCTCAACACTAGCTAGTGAGCTTATAACACTACAAACTGGGTTCAGTTAGTGGGCACAGCTCGAATGGCCCGTTGTGTAGCTTAGTGGTTAAAAACAAACAGAAACTACCGACTTCTACACCGAAATGATTTCTATTCTAAAATAGACACATATTAGTGTTCCATACATCGAGTATATTGCCTCCTAGTGGACATTAAAGGCGAGGAATTTTATCGACGCGATTAAACGTATATATACAGTCACCTGGGCTTTTAGCGTGATGGTTCAACTAACAAAGAGCCCACTAAACCGAGATGACACTTTGACATTAAGGCCGGAAAGTCTAATACAAACAAAATCCTAAGTGACTTACTGCCTCTCATGTCTGAGTTCGATTTTTCGCGTTAAATGATCAAGGAAGCTGTTCCTTGATTGATTTGTTAAAATTGTCAGATTTTTTTTATGGAGACAATATTTCTCACTGATGCATCCAAATGTTGAAAATAAGACATTCATACCAGTGGTACTTTGAAGTGTTAAACCTCAATTATTTTACACAACACGTGATGACCGAAATTGCCCAGAACTTCACTCTTTATTTACTAGTGTTGGCGATATCTATATTCAGGTATGTTTACGTAAACTGCACGTAGTTACTACAGTCTCCTTAACCGAATATTGAAAGCACGTAAACACGTACTAGTCCATTTCCTCAGATAAAAGCTGCATACGTCAATGGCTAGAAACTCATATCACTTTCGACCATTGGGAAGGGAGGCACAGATACTTGTACAAATTGTATTGTTTTTCTCTCGTATAAATGCTATCTGGAAATGTCGGTGATGTATGCAGCGCCAGATCCTGCTAAACTTGCATTTTAACGTTTTTGTAAGAATTTCCTTTGTTTTTGTGTAGTTTTGACGTCTTAGCCCTGACAGCCAGTATAATCACTATATAATATTTCAGGAATCTGCCGTTAGGGGATACTTGTAAACTTGTCTGTTATATATCAGTGGACCTAATTACCACAAACAACATCGATAATATTTTATATGTATATCACTATTTTACAGAAAACAGGTTTCATTCTCCTCGAAATAAACATATTTTCTACAAAATAGAATAAAAGTCAACTTTTTAAAATTGAAACACAGAAAACATTTATGTTCGTAGATGAATATAGAAATATTGTTTTGATAACTGGCTTTATGTGCACACCTGTCCCAGGTGACACTCGAGCCACACCGAGTGGTTAAAAAGAGTGAATCAAACACACTTAACGTTTCTCGAGACATACATAAAGTGTGACGTATTCTTTGGCCATGTATTTTATAAAACAACGAGGGTGTGTTGATATATCGAAAAATAAACACAATAACATTTTAAATTTTGTAGTGCACACTGACTCAAGCCGTAATTAATCACTATGTCAACCACTCCACAACAAGAAACCAGAAAAGTCCATCTAATAACAACATTCACTGTCCACGTTAGATAAGAGTTTGTTATGTAAACATTGGCGTCTTGCAGTCCATGCGTTCCAGGGAAGGGGGGGAAGTCACCATAACTCAGCCACACAGATCGCACACCACTCTTCACGCGGCAAGCTGAGTGACATTTGATATACACACCCATCTCACTAAGAAGCAGTAACTTGGTTTTATCTGTCACGCGCTTTGTGCTGTCAGAGCTGAAACGAATCTCATAAATATCAGCAGCAAATAGTCATCTAACGTGAAGGTACAATTTCCTTCCTCTAGCTCAGGGATTCTCCATCATTAACCCCCTTGGCTTGATGTATTTCTCCATTTACCCCCTTACTTCCATACAAAAAAT